GCTTGAACCCAGGAGGCAAAGGTTGCAGTAAGCCGAGATCACGCCATTGCACTCCAGCCTGAGCAACAAGAGTGAAATTCTGTCTCAAAAGAAAAGAAGCAATACAGCTCTTTGAGAAAGATGCAGTCGTAGGTGGTGTGGCGTTGCAGTCCACCCGCTCCTGCTCCTCACTCACCGCTGTTCTGAACAAGTCAGTCAGGAAGTCGCACTGCAGCCATGGCTTTTAAAGATACTAAAATCACCTGTGAAGCTGGAGGTGACCATTCACCAAATTTGAATCCCTCTAATGAGCCACAGCGTAAAATCCCTGGAGAAAGTGTGTGCTGACTTGATTCAGAGGAGGAAAGGAAAAGAATGTCAAGGTGAAGGGATCAGTTTGAATGCGTGCCAAGACTTCGAGACTCACTATAAGAAAATCTCCTTGTGGTGAAGGTTCAGAGTCATGGATCGTTTCTAGATGAGAATCCACCATCTACCCACTGACTTGCACAGTCCTTCTGAGATTGTTAAGCGGTTGACGTCCATCAGTATTGAGCCAGGAATTGAGGTGGAAGTCACCAATGCAGATGCTCAAAGTCAACTACTAATAAATTGATTAGCAGTTGTTTAAAAAGAAAAAAAAAAAAGCAGCAGCAATATGGGTTGAGTGCAGTGACTCACGCCTGTAATCCCAACACTTTGGGAGGTCGAGGTGGGTGGATTGCTTGAGTCTAGGAGTTCAAGACCAGCCTGGGCAACATGTTGAAACTTTAACTTATTATTTTAAAAAAGAAACATTATACCCAATGTCTGTCAATTGAGGACTGCAATGTGGTATGTCTACACAATGGAATATTATTAGGTCATTAAAAGGAACAAAGTACTGATTCTATGCTATAACATGGAGGAAGCTTGAACACATGCTAAGTGAAAGAAGCCAGTCACAAAAGATCACATATTGTATGATTCCATTGATACGAAATATCTAGAATAGCCAAATCCATAGACAGAAAGCAGATTAGTGGTTGCTTAGACTGGGAATAGGGGATAGAGGAGTGACTACTATGGGTCAGGCATTTTTTGAGGGGTGGGGGATGGTAAAAATGTTCTAAAGTGTGATTGTGGTGAATGATTGCACAACTCTGAATATACAAAAACCATTAAATGGATGAATATTACAGCATGTGAATTACCTGTCTGCTGTTTAAAACAATAGAAACAATACAAAATAGAATGTAATTGAGTGTGAATTTGTGTGATTCAGACAGTAACTGTTTTACAGAAAATTAGAGATGAGACATTGGTGTAAACAAGGCTTCCTAGTTTCTTGTTTTGTTTTAAGACAAGGTCTGGCTGGGTGCAGTGGCTCACACTTGTAATCCCAGCACTTGCTAACTGAAGATGCAAGGACCGAGGCGGGTGGATCACTTGAGGTCAGGAGTTCAAGGCCAGCCTGGTCAACATGGCGAAACCCCGTCTCTACTAAAATGCAAAAATAAGCCAGGCATTGTGGCATACGCCTGTAGTCCCAGCTACTCCAGAGGCTGAAGTGGGAAAATGGCTTGAACCTGGGAAGCAGAGGTTGCAGCAAGCCGAGATTGTGCCACTGCACTCCAGCCTGGGCAACAAAGCAACTCTGTCTTTAAAAAAGAAAAAATAAAGGGTCTTTGTCGCCCAGTGGCATGATCATAGCTCACTGTAGCCCAACTCCTGGGCTTAAGCAGTCCTATCTCAGCCCACCGAGTAGCTGGGACTACAGGCATGTGCCACCAAGTCTGGCTAGTTTTTAAATTTTTTTGGAGAGACAAGGTCTCACTATGTTGCCCAGGCTGGTCTTGAACTCCTGGGCTCAAGTGAGCCACCTGCCTCAGCCTCCCCAAGTGCTGGGATTGCAGGCACAAGCCACTGCGCCCAGTCCCTGGACATTTTGGATGGTGGACTTTGAGTAGTTTGAGGCAGGAGGACTCTGGAGTGGCGCTGACAGTCCTCCTGATGGAGTAAGCTTTGCCATGCCAGGGAGGATGCAGCTGGGGCTGAAAGCATCCCGACTGGGGGGTGGGGAGGGACAGCCCCTGGTAGAGAGAATGGGGTTGGCTGGAGAGAGTGGAAGCCGATTGCAGGGAGTCTTGAAGGTGAGGCAGGGATGTGAATTTTATTCAGTACACAGGGTAGATTTTGATCAGAAAAACAATGTCAAGCACATGACGGCTTGGAAGCCGGAGTCTGAGCTGCAGCCCCAGGGAGGCCGTTTAAAAGATCATCCCCGCCGGGTGTGGTGGATCATGCCAGCACTTGGAGAGGCCGAGGCAGGCAGATCACGGGGTCAGGAGTTTTAGACCAGCCTGACCAACGTGGTGAAACCCCATCTCTACTAAAAATACAAAAATTAGCTGGGTGTGTTGGCGCACGCCTGTAATCCCAGCAACTCAGGAGGCTGAGGCAGGAGAATCGCTTGAACCCGGGAGGCGGAGGTTGTAGTGAGCTGAGATCGCACCACTTCACCCCAGCCTGGGCAAAAGAGTGAAACTCCATCTCAAAAAAAAAAAAAAAAATTATCCCAAGATGGTTCTGGGAAAGGGAGAGGATAGAGCATACCTGAGCCACGTTTGGAAGGGAACTGGGGTCTAAGCTTGCATCAGGAGGAAAGCGAGCTGGTTCTTGAGGCTTTTAGAGATCACGTATAGTGGAGTTTTGTTTGCACGTTCTGGTTGGGACCGTCAGGAAGGTACGGATCCAAGCTGGTATCAGCTAGAGCGGGTCTCACCAGGGCCAGTGTTCCTTTGCTACTTTCTCTTGGAGGGAAATAAAAGCCTGGGGGTTCTCTTTGCTACGGTTTTGTCTTTGGGAGCTGCTTTTTTCTCTGGGACCAGGCTGCAATAGGCCTTGGGTTGCCAGAGGGTAAGAATTCAAGTTTACTCTTGACCAACGGGTTGCACAGATCACAAGCTGCAAAATATTTAATCACTGAGGTCATTTGAGGGAAATGAGATTTGATCAATAGGAGTGTCTGCTCTGTTCCTTAAGAGTCGTGTCTAAACTGCTTTTCCCCTACCTTCATTGGGCAAAACCACAGACCATTAAAAATGGAAAGAAGAACTTCTTCTAAGGCCCACAAAAGCTTATTTTTAATCAGTTGTGTGGTCTACTCACCTTTGTGGTGTTCCCCTTGACCGGACTCACAAAAATAAACGTGTGCAAGCCTAGTGGTGTCTGAGCCCTTCTAAAGCAGCACCCTTGTGTCTGACAACTCTTATTTAAGATAAAGCCCATGGGTTAATGCAGGACTGGGCCTGCAGCCTCAGCCCCCGTGAGAGAAACCACTGTCAGTCCCTGTCAGTTGCTGGTCACTTCTGAAGCGCGGGACACCTATTTTCATTTTTAAGGTTTCTAGCGGAAGCCTGCTGAGCACTTCAGAAAGACTCTCTTTCAAGTAAGGGGGAGTGAAAGAGAAAAGGGAGATTAGAAAGGAAGGCAGTGAAGAGCCAGGGTGACTGCACGTGTGATATTTATTGAGCAAGCATTTCCTGGGCGCCAGGCATCATGGTGGACGCTGGGGATTTGAAGGTACCGATGACACATCCCCACACTCAGGTTCAGAAAGAGGACTGCCCTTCAGTGTGACAGGTGCCAGGAAGGGGAGGGCACCTAACCCAGACTCGGAGTCAGCACCGCCCTCGAGGAGAAGTCAACAACTAGGCTGAGACAGAAGAGTGAGTATTGAGAGCTGGACAGAAACAGTCGGGGGCTCTGTGGCCGCTGGGGCAGGCGTGAGCCACAGCAGGGGCTGAGGGAGAGCATGCTCTTTCAGAGCCTTGTGCATCGCATTGGGGAGCGACAGTTGCTCTCCAGAGTCTCTTAGGGTGAACAGATGGTAAGAAAAGTCCTCTCCAAGGCTGTGGGTGGGGTGTGGGTGGTAGGTGAGAGGTGGAAGGTTCCAGGAGTACGTTTGAACATCCTAAAAGGAAATAGAAACTTCATTTCCCCTCGTGAGTGCAGAGGGGTGTGTTCGGGAGATGGGTAACAGCCCAGCATGGTGGACTCAGGTGTGTTTGGGCCACGGGCCTTCTTGAACGCGTGTGGGAAGAGGCACTGGTCAGGGGAGGGACAGGTGCTCTAGGCGGTATCAGATCTTGTGTGAGGTGCGGACACCCCGGTGGGTCCAGCACTCCCACCCAGGGGCAGAGAAGGACGGGGCACTGGGAGGGAGAGTGGATGGTGGGGGGCCTGAGAGGGTGTGCCCAGGCAGAGGGCTGAGGAGAAAGGACCTTTGTGTGTGACAGCTCTTGCTGCCAGAGCAAGTGTGGGTTTTATGGCAGCTGTGGCCTCTGGTTCTAATATAGTCAACAGCTCCAAATCCCCTGCCCTGACACCTGTTAGCGAGAGGTTCCCTGAGCTGACCTCTCTTTGGGCTGCCCCCTCCCAGCATGTGCATCTGACATGTCGGGGGCGAGACCCCCACCCTCGCCGAATCACACACATCCTGGTCAGCCCCTGGTTGACAAATTGCCTTCTCTCGACTTGGACAGGGGCTGCTGGGGTTTTGAGGGGCGGGGTTTGTTCAGCTGTTGCTAGGGAAGGGTGAGGCTGAGCTATCCCAAAAGAAATGGGGTGTTCCTCTGGCAAGTGGGGATCTTGGCAAAGAACTGAGTGTCCGGGGAGGGGGCAACTCCAGACACAAAGAAGTCCTGGGGAGGGCTGACCTTTCCCCTTAGGATGGAGGGAAATGAAATGTGATCTGCTTAATGCTGCTACAGCTGCTTCCTAACTTTGCCTCTTTCTTCCTTTGACTTTTGGAGGAGTGGGGTGGAAAAGAGATGGGGGTTCCCAGGCAGCCAGCTGTTTCCCCACTGACCCATGCTCCAACTCCCACTGCCGCGGCTCAGTAGCCTCCAGTAAGTGATGCCCGGGACGGTGCGGCTCCGTGTGGCCAGCGTAATTCCCTTTGTCTCTCCCTTCCTCCCCTCTCCCTGTCTTCCTCTCTCGCCCCTTGGCCTCCCTTCCCGGCCCCGTGGTGGCTGCAGCCCAGCCCTGGGGAGCCCCTGTGGAAGTGGAGTCCTTCCTGGTCCACCCCGGTGACCTGCTGCAGCTTCGCTGTCGGCTGCGGGACGATGTGCAGAGCATCAACTGGCTGCGGGACGGGGTGCAGCTGGCAGAAAGCAACCGCACCCGCATCACAGGGGAGGAGGTGGAGGTGCAGGACTCCGTGCCCGCGGACTCCGGCCTCTATGCTTGCGTAACCAGCAGCCCCTCGGGCAGCGACACCACCTACTTCTCCGTCAATGTTTCAGGTTGGTAGCCAAGCTGTGTCCTTGCCCCTCCCTAGACCCACCCCCTCCACCCCTCTCTGCCAGTATCAGGGGAAGGTGAACCTCCTTCCCCTCCGTGGTCTGCCCCCACTCTGCTTCAGAAACTGCTGCCCACTAACATTGCTCCCTGCCTGCCGCGTGGCTTGGCTCTCAGAGGGGTGACCAGGTGGGGTGGGCCCCAGGGCCGGAGATCTGGGTCTTCCAGGACACACCTCGGAGGTGATTGCCAGGGCTATTGGGATGTTAAGACCCTGTGATTTTTTTCCACCACAGCTTGCCCAGATCTCCAGGAGGCTAAGTGGTGCTCGGCCAGCTTCCACCCCATCACTCCCTTGCCATTTGGACTTGATACTCGGCTTAGTGATTAGAGCCCCCGAACAGGTGGTGGGATCCCTGCTCTGCTGGAGAGGAACCCAGGTGCACTGCAAGGGAGCTGTGCGAGGGCAGCCAGGGAGCCCTGGAGCTCTGTGAACTTGGGAACCTGCCACTATTAAAATGTGACTTTCACAAAACTAGGAGTTGAGGAAGTGTTGCTGAAATTTTCTTTATGCCATTTTTGCACCTCGGGGTGCGGACTTGGCACCAGATCCCCAAAGGTGATAGGAAGGACTGGAGAAAGATCTGGCATGAACCCTGATGGGTGAGATAACATGTGTATCAAGCCTGTTCTTACAAGAAATAAATACTTACTGGGGAGGGGTGTTGGCAGCTGCCGGGGTGTCAGGTGCCCTATCTGCTCTGGTTAGGGAGAGCAGCCCCCAAAACTTAGTGGACACATGCTAGAAAAATTCTGACTGTGGAGTGTTTAGCCCATCGTTTGGAAATAGCATCTAGCTACAATGTGTCTAGACCTGCCTGGGTTTCCCTGTAGTCAGCCGTCCAAAGAAGAATACACGCTGCCTGGCACCAGCACACCCAGGTGGTACCACAAGTTGAGAGAGAGCCTTTGAATGTAGGACGGAATTAAGTTAAAGAGGAACAGCTGACCCTGATGGAACCACCCAGTGTGAAGGCTTCCAGGCAGTGGGAGCAGTGCTTTGGGGATGGAAGGAAACACGCACAGGAACTGTTCTTAAACAGTTTCCATCCCACCAAGAGATCGTCACTAAGGGAGAAGTGGGACTGGTATCTCCATGGGGAGGGTGTTTGTGTTCATCTGGAACTGCACTAGCCTTGGCGAAATCTAGGGGTCCCTAGGAGGAACCTCAGTGCCCCTTCTTCTTCCCATAGATGCTCTCCCCTCCTCAGAGGATGATGATGATGATGATGACTCCTCTTCAGAGGAGAAAGAGACAGATAACACCAAACCAAACCGTATGCGTGAGACACTGTTTCCTATCTTACTGCCCTTTGGGTCTGGGCGTTGGGTTTAAGAGGGGAGGGGAAGGCTGAAAGGGGAGGAAGAGGGCACATGGGGTCACGATGCCTGTTCTGCTAAGTGCCAGGCACTGCTCACAGGTGTTGGGCAGATGGGCAGGGCACCCCCAGGTCCTGGCCTGGGCCCTGCTCCTGAGCCTGACCAGCTGCTCCTCCCCACCCTGCCTCTCTCTCTCTCGGCTTTCCCCGGGCAGCCGTAGCTCCATATTGGACATCCCCAGAAAAGATGGAAAAGAAATTGCATGCGGTGCCAGCTGCCAAGACAGTGAAGTTCAAATGCCCTTCCAGTGGGACCCCAAACCCCACACTGCGCTGGTTGAAAAATGGCAAAGAATTCAAACCTGACCACAGGATTGGAGGCTACAAGGTACGTGTGTGTGCATGTGAAAGTTGAGTAACGGGAACAGGGGAGGCTGAGCTAGGAATTCCTGATTACACGCTTTTCATTGTTTTAAGTAATACTTTCTACCTATACAGGTTATGTATTAAAATTTTTAAATGCAAAAAAATGCAAATAAAGTTTAAAAATTTCTTCAGTCTTCTTTCTGTGTAATATGGTTTTTACATAGTTAATCACGTCATGTATAATAATTTCCTTGCCTTGTCATTTGTTAACATGAGTGTTTTCATGATATATTTCAAGCATGAATGTTTGAAACATATAAGATTCCATTATTTTTAAATCCCATAATTTGGCTGGGCACAGTGGCTCACACCTGTAATCTTGTCACTCTGAGAGGCCAAGGCGGGCAGATTGCTTGAGCTCAGGAGTTCGAGACCAGCCTGGGCAACATGGTAAAACCTCTCTACTAAAAATACAAAAAATTAGCCATGCGTGGTGGCAGGCTCCTGTAATTCCAGGTACTCGGGAGGCTGAGGCAGGAGAATTGCTTGAACCCGGGAGGCAGAGGTTGCAGTGAACTGAGATCATGTCACTTCACTCCAGCCTGGGTGACAGAGCGAGACTCTGTCTCCAAAAAACAACAAAAAAGTCCCATAATTTAATGAACTATTTTGTGATATTAGGTATTTTCTGGCTTTTCACCATAATAAATAATGTTGCAGTGAATCTCTGTCAGCATTTTTAAGTGTGCTTCCTTAGGACAGAATGTTACAAGTGAAGTTACCAACTTAAAGGGTGTAAGCATTATTTATTTATTTATTTATAGACGGAGTCTTGCTCTGTCGCCCAGGCTGGAGTGCAATGATGCCATCTTGGCTCATTGCAAGCTCCGCCTCCCGGGTTCATGCCATTCTCCTGCCTTAGCCTCCCGAGTATCTGGGATTATATGTGCAGGCCACCATGCCTGGCTGATTTTTGTATTTTCAGTAGAGACGGGGTTTCCCCATGTTGGTCAGGCTGGTCTTGAACTCCTGACCTCAAGTGATCTGTCCTCTGGGCCTCCCAAAGTGCTAGGATTACAGGCATGAGCCACCGCACCCAGCCAGAAACATTTTAAATTAATTCACCATGCACTCACTACATGCAAGACACCATGCTTTAAATGCTACAAGACAGTGTTCCTGCCCATAAAAATTTTCCAGTCTCATCAGAGTCAAATGTCCATGAGTGGCTACCGTAAAAAGCAGACTGTGATCAGTGCCCTGGTAGGCAGAGGAAAGGGTGAGCACGGTTCTGACCAGAGACTGGACTGGAGGAGATGGTTTTTGAAATGAGCTGTCAAGGGCAGCAGGGGCTGGATTCTTAGTATAATAGGGGAGGTGCACAGTTGGGAACATTCCTGGTGTATTTGGAAGTGTTTGCAGAAGGCACATCTGTCCAGATCACGAATGACCTTGAACGTCACAGTGGAGACTTCCAGAGTCTTTACACCCCATCTACCACCTTGCAGAGTGTGAACGGGCTGGTAGTGGGGGCAATCCACGCCTTGTCCTAGCCAACCCTGCAGCCTGGAGCCCTGTGCCACCAGACTCTGATATGGAGGGCAGGTGCCACGGGGTGCCAACATTGTCATGGGGCTTCTGTCTATATTTTCCTTCAGACTCTGAAAGTACCCCTTCGGCATTTCCCCTCAGGTCCGTTATGCCACCTGGAGCATCATAATGGACTCCGTGGTGCCCTCTGACAAGGGCAACTACACCTGCATTGTGGAGAATGAGTATGGCAGCATCAACCACACCTACCAGCTGGATGTCGTGGGTAAGAGGACAGAGGCGGCAGGAGGAATGCATTTAGCGGGAAGAGCTGAGCTTGGAGAACACAGCCGGGGTGTCCAGGTTTCTCAGGGGCAGAGTCAGGATAGCGGTTGGCACTTCTTGGCTTTGTCACCTTGAGCAGGTCACTTCTCCCTTTTGAGTCTCACTTATCTGTAAAATAGAGTTAAGATCAGACAGTAACACATGTCAAAGCTGGTTGTCACTGTGAAATGGAAGGTGGTTTCAGAGTCTGTCCTGAAGGAGATGCTGTTGGAGAGGTGTTAAATGTAGCGCAACAGGAGCTGTCGCTTAATGCCAGCAATGTGCCAGGCTCCTTAAATACCTGCTCTGTAATGCTTGTGGCACACCTGCAAGGTAGGTGGTATTAGTCTAGCTCTGCACAGGAGCACAGGCAGTGAGGCTCAGAGAGGTGAGATACCTTGCTGATGCAGAACTGTACACCTGTGCCAACTTCAGGGCATCACAGGAGACTCTAGGAAGAATGTTGAGCCTCTTGGAGTGATTACCACAGCGTTTTCCTTCTAGGAGTTCTGAAAATCACTCCCTAGAGATTATTGGGTACAGAGTCTCTCAGTCAGTGTTCTTCTTGTGATAATATGGTCTAAAAAGGAGATTGTGGCCAGGCACAGTGGCTTATGAGCTCCAGGTGGCGTAATGGGATTATTCATGCCTGTGATCCCATGACTTTAGGAAGCCAAGGCAGGAGGATTGCTTGAGGCCAGGAGTTTGAGACCAGCCTGGGCAACACAGTGAGATCCTGTCTCTATAAAAAAATTTAGGCCGGGCGCGGTGGCTGAAGCCTGTAATCCCAGCACTTTGGGAGGCCGAGGCGGGTGGATCACGAGGTCAGGAGATCAAGACTATCCTGGCTAACATGGTGAAACCCCGTCTCTACTAAAAATACAAAAAACTAGCCGGGCGTGGTGGCGGGCGCCTGTAGTCTCAGCTACTTGGGAGGCTGAGGCGGGAGAATGGCGTGAACCCGGGAGGCGGAGCTTGCAGTGAGCCGAGATCACGCCACTGCACTCCAGCCTGGGAGACACAGCGAGACTCCGTCTCAAAAAAAAAAAAAAATTTAAAAATTAGCCTAGTGCAGTGGCATGTACTTGTAGTCCCAACGGAGTAACTGAGGCTACTGAGGTGGGATGATCACTTGAGCCCAGGAGTTCCAAGCTGCAGTGAGCTATGAAGACACCCTTGTGCTCCAGCATGGGTGACAAAGTGAGACCCTGCCTCTAAAAAAAGTAAAAAGGAGATTCTGATCCAAGAGGTTGGGGTAAGATCTGAGATCCCGCATTTCTAACAAGCTCCTAAAGGATGCTGGTAGCACTGCAGGTGGACCACACTTTGAACAGCAGGAGTCTAAGTGACTCTGGTTTTACTTAAGGAGGAGCAGGTTATGCTGAGGTCTGGGGGTGCAACTGAGTTAGAAGGTTCTCCATTAAAGCATGAGCGATTTACTGTGACTATAAATATGACCGCCTTGGGAAGGAGGATCCTGATGGCTTAGGGCCTGAAGAGATGGTGTCCCTTTCCCCTGCTCTGTTTTGAGAGGCCTGGGCTCAGCAGAAGTGCTGGGAGGTTTACAACCCATCACTGGGAAAGCCAAGTGGGACGCAGGCGAGCCCACCCTTCTTTAGCCCTGGCAAGGTCCCCATGACAAGCGCCTCCTCTCCCCTCTTCCACAGAGCGGTCCCCTCACCGGCCCATCCTGCAAGCAGGGTTGCCTGCCAACAAGACGGTGGCCCTGGGTAGCAACGTGGAGTTCATGTGTAAGGTGTACAGTGACCCACAGCCGCATATCCAGTGGCTAAAGCACATCGAGGTGAACGGGAGCAAGACTGGTCCAGACAACCTGCCTTATGTCCAGATCTTGAAGGTAATCACGGCACCAGTCTTCGTGGGCCAGTCTGCTGAGAAGGAGACCAGTGTCTCGGGGGCTCAAGTTCCTGTGGGCAGGCTCAGTGCCCCCGAATGGAATCATTCCTCACCCTTCAGGCACACACACTCCATCTCGGTAGGGATCTAGCCACATCCCCCAGGACTAGTGACAGAGGTCACAAAGTGGAGGTGAGCTGGGAACAGAGGGCTGCAGGAATGGGTGATGCTGGTCTGTTATAATTTTTGAGAGCAACGTCACTGGGGCTTTGGGGTCAGCTACGCGAGGAAGGCATTTGGACCCCTGCCTTTTCATTGCCCGAAACCAGAGCCTTTCCGACAAGCATTTCCCAGTCTTAGCCCTGCGTCCTGAGTTACATACAATCTTTCTGGCAAATGGGGTGCACGATAAGAGCATCTTTTATGAAGAGTTGGAAAAACAGATGCCACCTATAAATTCTAAGCCATATGAGGAGTAATGAATGGCATTTTCTTCCTTTTTCCTCTCACTCCCAGACATTCATTGTCCCTGAATGCTCCATTAATCCAGGGAAGGTAATTGCCTAAATCTCCAGTGGATCTCGCAACAGGAAGGAACCAGAAGCTGGGAAAGTTGTTTACCTCTTTGTCCCAGAGTTAGACCTCATCCTCCCCTGGCTTGGCTGTCTCAGAGATATACTGGCCCTCCCTTCTCTTCTCTTTGCTACTGGTGCTAAAACTGCTCTGTAGGTCATTGGCCACTGTCCCCACTCACAACCCCTGCTCCAGTCCTAGAGGGAGTGGGTTAAACACAAATAGAACATTCCATTTGAAGCAGTGATTTTTTTTTTTTTTTTTTTAAATCAAATGCTTTGGACTTTTGAAGTCCACTTGTTCTGTCCTTCTAAAAGGGAAAGAAGGCCGGGCACAGTGGCTCATGCCTGTAATCCCACCACTTTAGATCACTTGAGGTCAGGAGTTTGAGACCAGCCTGGCCAACATGGTGAAACCCCATCTCTACTAAAAATACAAAAATTAGCCTTGTGTAGTGGTTGGCACCTGTAGTCCCAGCTACTCAGGAGGCTGAGGCAAGAGAACTGCTTGAACCCAGGAGGCGGAGGTTGCAGTGAGCTGGTATCACGCCACTGTACTCCAGCCTGCGTGACAGAGTGAGAGAGACACTGTCTCAAAAAAAAAAAAAAAAAAAAATCTAAAAGGGAAAGATAATAAATCTCACTTAACATCTCCCTTCGCTCCCTGGGCCTGCCTGAAAGTTACACGGGAGCAACATGCGTGGCCACGTCTCAGCGTTTGCCCAACTGACTGGTGTGTCGTTGGTTTGTTCCAGCATTCGGGGATTAATAGCTCGGATGCGGAGGTGCTGACCCTGTTCAATGTGACAGAGGCCCAGAGCGGGGAGTATGTGTGTAAGGTTTCCAATTATATTGGTGAAGCTAACCAGTCTGCGTGGCTCACTGTCACCAGACCTGTGGCAAAAGGTAATGGGGAGATGGATGGGATCCTGTGCTGGGGATTTGATGTAGGCCCCAAGCTGCTGGGGCAGGCGGAGAAGCCAGTACCGGACTGTCCTTGCCACCCTACTGTATTTCTAGTGCCCAGAGCCATGGAAAAATACCCGGCCTGGGAGGCTGGTTTGGTTTGGTATTGTGTTGGTGTCTGCGGGCTCCCTCTCTGCCTTCTGTGTGTTCCTTGGCTGTGTGTGGATCCATGCGAGGACTCACGGGGACACGGTCTTGCTGTGTTACAAATAGTACTTCAGACTGAAGGTGTGAGTGAGTGGTGGTTAAGAGAAGGGGCCATAGGCCAGACACGGTGGCTCATGCCTGTAATCCTAGCACTTTGGGAGGCTGAGGTGGGAGGATCGCTTGAAGCCAGGAGTTTGAGACCAGCCTGGGCAACATAGCAAGACCCCATCTCTACAAATTAAATAAATTAGCCAAGTATGGTGGTGTGTGCCTGTAGTCCCAGCTAGTCTGAAGGCTGAGGCAGGAGGATTGCCTGAGCTCAGAAGGTCGAGGCTGCAGTGAGCTACATTTATGCCGCTGCACCCCAGCCTGGGTTGACAGAATGTGACCCCATCTCTTAAAAAAGAGAGAAGGGGTTAGGCGTTCCCTTGCATACTCGCATCTGCTGGCTGTGTATGCACACATGCGCGCGAGTGTGTGTGTGTGCGCATGTGTGTGTCTGCAGCCCCCGCCATCCCTCCTGTGTTCACCTTCTGGCTATCTTTACCTGAAACCAAACAGCCCCTGCCCGCCGGCCCCATTTCTCCATGCCGCTCACCGCCCGCATGCTCGGATGGGCCAGTGGCTGCCAGCGTCTGGTGAAGGGTCGTAACCAGCCGTCATCTTCTCAGGTCTGCCGGAGTTCCTCCCTAAGGGTCTCACCCTCTTCCTCTAACAGGTTTTGCTGCCTGGTGGTTTTCGTTTGTTCCTTGTTGCAAAGAAGATGCGGGGGAGCGTTTCTTCCTCTGGTCCCCCTTCTCTCTGTTTCCTTCCCTTGCTCTGCGTCTCTTAGAGGTCTCATGTCCTATGCTTGTCCATTTTGCTTCCATTGTCTCTTCTAGACTGCTGGAGTTAATACCACCGACAAAGAGATGGAGGTGCTTCACTTAAGAAATGTCTCCTTTGAGGACGCAGGGGAGTATACGTGCTTGGCGGGTAACTCTATCGGACTCTCCCATCACTCTGCATGGTTGACCGTTCTGGAAGGTACACACTGTAACTTCTCCTCTCGATGTCCTGCCCTTGCCACGGGCACGGGGGGAGCATGCATTTCCGGGCTCGGGGAGACACAGAGGCAGGAGAGCTGGAAGAATGGGCTCCTGCCTGCCTGGTGCCACATCCTGCCCCAGCTTTCAGAGCTGAATCCTCTCGGCTCAGAGAAGAGCTTCCCTAGTTTTGCAGGCGCACGGAGGCCTCCCACCCATACACCTGCCTCTGCTCTCCCCCTGGCCATTGCAATGCATGCCCGGAATCTGGGTTTACCCTGCAGCCGGACTCCTCCAGGGCAGGCTCCTTCCGTCCTTGGGTCCAGCAGCCTCCCCAGTCCGCTGGGCACTGAGTGTCTGAAAAGTCTCAGATAGGGCCCTACGCCTCTTCTCCTTTCTCAGGTGCTCAGCCCAGGGGTGGGGCTTGCTGCTTGCAAAGGGCAGTCCACCCTTTCTGTACTACCATCCTCTTGCCTTTGGAGAAAGAGGTCAGCCTGGACAGGTGAACTGAGCTGCCTTCAGAAAGGCCTGTCTCAGGCAGCCGCAGCAGGCTTCATGACGCCCATGTATCCTCTTTGGCTGCTGCCGTCTCTCCTCTCCCAAGAGGGGAAGTCTGTGTGTTGAGCCAGGGAGGAAGGAGCCTGCAGCCTGCTCAGGGTGGTGGCTGGTGACCGCGGGGCCAGGGCTTGCTGCTGTCTCTCGGAATGTCCTGCATGTGGGTCTGGCTGTTCCTGCTGGCACTGCCCTCTCCTCTCTCCCCTCCTTTCCCACTCTGCCCTACTTGCCTGTCAGGGTCTACGGATGCCCGTAGTGGAGGCAGAAAAGCGTTCTGTTTTTATCATTGTCCCTGTCTTGGTCCTGTCCGTGCTCCCCATGTGCTCCCAATCAATTGTCTTCGTTCCTCAACATCAGGGAAAGAAAAAACAGCAACACTTCTCCCTGTTATCAGCTCTGCTGTCTCCTTGTCAGACCTTGGGACGTTCTCCTCTGGGCTCAGTCTGGGGTCGTGCCTCATGCCTCTCTGGGGAGGTTCCCAGGGGTGCCGCCTCCATGGCTGGCTGCTGGGTTTTAAAGGGGAAGGTTGGGAGGAGGCCTGTGGAAGGAGGAGGGTGTTCATACCCGTGGGGCAAAGCGTGTTCCGTGAAACCAGTGCTGCACGTGCTGGGATGAAAGCCTCCCAGCCTTCCGTGCTGAAGGGAAAGGTGGACCGAACTGGCTTAGCTGCTGTGGCTATGGGGGGGAGGGGCGGTGAATCCTAATCGGAAGGTAGGAGAAGAGAATAACAAAGTGCAACCCCGCCCCCTGCCGCCGCATTTCCTTAAGTTTTAGGAGTTGGGACCTATAAGTAGAATTTGTAAGAACTACCAGAAAAGTTTATTTTTGGAAATTAAGTCAGCTTTGCCTGTGGTTTGGCTAGGAGTAAATATTTACCTGTGTGCCCCGACAGAGGTGACACAGACCCAAAGTGGGACATTGAGCAGGGCACAGGCTGGTTCCCCTCCTGTCCTCTGTCCTCATTCTGTGAGTGCCACCATCACCAGGTACTGTAGCCTGCAGAAATAAACGAGGCACCAACCCTGCCTTCAGGGACCCTGTGGCTTCTTAGGGACAGAGGACTCAGAAACACCTCTGTCCCTGCATGTTAAGTGCACGCACACAGTGCTGAGGCTTTGCAGAGAAGGGCCATGGCTCCCAAAGGAGACCAAGAAAGGCACACAGAAGTGACTTCTCAGTTGGCCCTTACAGGGTCCCTGGGTGCCTGTACCTCTCCAGTCCAGTTGAGCGAGGAGGCTCAGGAGTTAATGAGGATGTAGCACGATGGTTCTAGGCCATCCCTCTTCCATGGCTCGAGTCCATTGAAGGCAGCCTCCAAGATCAGGGGGTTGTCTGATCCTCGTCGTGCCACAATTCCGGTCCTAGCTAGAACCTGCCGTAGTTCTTCTCCTCCCTAAAAGTTCCCAGGACACAGGAGATAAGTGTTGTTTTTCTAATGGAGCGGGACCTCGCATCGACGGGGCCCTCCGAGCCTGCTAATACCCTCTTCGCACTGACTCAGCTCTGGAAGAGAGGCCGACGGTGATGACCTCGCCCCTGTACCTGGAGATCATCATCTATTGCACAGGGGCCTTCCTCATCTCCTGCATGGTAGGGTCGGTCATCGTCTACAAGATGAAGAGTGGCACCAAGAAGAGCGACTTCCACAGCCAGATGGCTGTGCACAAGCTGGCCAAGAGCATCCCTCTGCGCAGACAGGTAACAGAAAGTAGATGGGGGATTTGCACACTCAGCACCACCTCTCTCTCTGGGCCTCTAATGCCCTGCCCTCTCCCATTGTCCCTAATCTACAACTTTGGGCCTTGTTTTCTGGCTTCTGGGCAAGGCACAGTGGAATGTCATGAACTAAGTGTTCCAGAGTCTGTTTCAAGCTAGCGTAGCCCCTGAATTTCCTGCACCCTCCATATCCCACTGCAAGTCCTCCGGACCCCTGGGACATGGATTGGGAGGAAGTCCTATTTGGACGGAATGTGCAGCTGATAACATGAATTTGAACTGTCCCCAAGGGCTGCTTAGAAGTGCAGAGATGCAGGGTAGAGAAGAGGACTGTCTGTATTAGTCCATTTTCACGCTGCTGATAAAGACATACCCAAGACTGGGCAATTTACAAAAGAAAGAGGTTTAATGGACTCACAGTTCCACGTGGCCCGGGAGGCCTCACAATCGCAGAAGGCAAAAGGCACATCTCACATGGGGGCAGACAAGAGAAGAGAGCTTGTATAGGGAAACTCCCCTTTATAAAACTATCAGATCAGCTGGGTGTGGTGGCTCACGCCTGTAATCCCAGCACTTTGGGAGACTGAGGCGGGTGGATCACAAGGTCAGGAGATCGAGACCATCCTGGCTAACACCGTGAAACCCCATCTCTATTTAAAATGCAAAAAAATTAGCTGGGCGTCGTGGCTAGCGCCTGTAGTCCCAGGTACTCGAGAGGCTGAGGCAGGAGAATGGCATGAACCCAGCAGCAGAGCTTGCAGTGAGCCAAGATCGCACCACTGCACTCCAGCCTGGGCGACAGAGCGAGACTCCGTCTAAAAAAAAAACAAACAAAAAACCATCAGATCTCGTGAGATTTACTCACTATCACAAGAACAGCACGGGGAAGACCTGCCCCCATGAGTCAGTGACCTCCTACCAGGTCCCTCCCATAACACGTGGGAATTCAAGATGAGATTTGGGTGGGGACACAGCCAAACCATTATCAGCCATACCATACCCTTGTCCCCTGTATGCCCACCCTTCTGCATGGGAGGGTGTGTGCAAGAGTGGCCGTTTCCTCAGAAGCCTGTGCTCATTCTGGAAGGTGCTTTGGGAGTTAGGAATCCATAAACTAAGGCAAAGTAGTTGCAAAGAGTCAGGAGAACAGAGTTGTTACTGCGATGATCAGTTATAAAATGTCAAGCTGGAAGAGGTGCATTTGGTCTGCTTAATTTAAAGGTGAGTGAAGTCTAGAAAGGCCAGCTCATGGCAGAAATAGGTCAGTCCTAGAAGTTGGGCCTCCTGGCCTGCCATGGTCTTTGAAACACTCTGTGTTGGGGAAGGAACATCAGATACACAGACACGTGTCTGCCATTGTTGGGAAGCCCTGACTAGGAATTGAAAGGAGTCACCCCTGACCCCACTCCTTGCTCTAGGGTGACCCCACTCTTCCTTGCAGGTGTCTGCTGACTCCAGTGCGTCCATGAACTCTGGGGTTCTTCTGGTTCGGCCATCACGGCTCTCCTCCAGTGGGACTCCCATGCTAGCAGGGGTCTCCGAGTATGAGCTTCCTGAAGACCCTCGCTGGGAGCTGCCTCGGGACAAGTAATAATACTTTAACTCCCAACTTTTTGAAGGCATTCCTTGCTTGCTATTCTAGTGGTGGAAGGTGCATATACTAACACCTTCTGGGCGGTGAGGGTTCATGAAATGCCTGCAGAAACATTGCCACTTTCTGCTTGCAGTTGGGTGAAATACAGAGAGGTGGAGATGGGGTGCCTCTCAAGGTTTGAACTTCACCAGCCCCAACTTATGCCACTCTCTGTTTTCCCTGAAAGACTGGTCTTAGGCAAACCCCTGGGAGAGGGCTGCTTTGGGCAGGTGGTGTTGGCAGAGGCCATCGGGTTGGACAAGGACAAACCCAACCGTGTGACCAAAGTGGCTGTGAAGATGTTGAAGTGTAAGTGATGCTTCTGTCCTTGCAAAGAAAATCTTGTCCCGTTCCAAGCAAGCAGCAGGCCTCGGCCCCAGCAGAACAGCTTCTCTGGTGCCTTTGCTGCCCACAACTGCTCCCCTGCCTGCTTGGGGTTACCTGGGAGTGGAGGGGGTGTTCTGCACCCTGAGATTGTTCTGTGACCTCACTCTGTTCCTTGGTATCAACCTGGGCTGTGGTCAGGTGTTTATCCTGGATCCATCGCTTGCAGGCTTTCCTCACCACATCCCTGCCCACTCACTACCACCTATTGCAACAACGACTCCCATTAGACGGAAGAGAAAATAAGTTTGGATGGAAGTGGGGAGGAGAGAGTCAAGTCCCAGGGAAAAGCAGCCCCTCGACACATACCCCACTCCCTTAGCCTTTATCCTGCCCTCCCTTCCCAAGTAAATGAGTCTCAACATGTTCTTTAAAGCGGACGCAACAGAGAAAGACTTGTCAGACCTGATCTCAGAAATGGAGATGATGAAGATGATTGGGAAGCATAAGAATATCATCAACCTGCTGGGGGCCTGCACGCAGGACGGTGGGTACCGGCCAGACTGGCCTTCCCTGCCCAGCCGGCAGAAGATCTGAGCTGCGGTATCAGTCCCAAGGCCTCTCTCAGCCACAGTTAGGGAAGGGGGTTAAGAGAGGCCACACTAGCAGAGGTTAAAATGTGTTATTTCGGGGTCTGGACTCCGCTCATTGGTGTTCATTCAAGAATACAGATACCTAGATTCACACACATGGTGTGTTAACAGAGGCAGCTGAGTAATTATGGGCTAAGAGCGCTCAGGCTGGGTGCAGTGGCTCATACCTGTAACCCCAGCACTTTGGGAGGCCAAAGCAGGTGGATCACTTGAGATCAGGTGTTCGAGACCAGTCTGGCCAAAGTGGTGAAACCCCGTCTCTCCTAAAAATATGAAAATTAGCCAGGCCTGGTTGTGCATGCCTATGATACCAGCTACTCAGGAGGCTGAGGCACAAGAACTTGCTGGAACCCGGGAGGTGGAGGTTGCAGTGAGCCGAGATCATGCCATTGCACTCAAGCTTGGGAGACACTCCCTCTGTCTCAAAAATAAAATAAATAGGCCAGGCACAGTGGCTCACACCTGTAATCCTAGCACTTTGGGAGGCTGAGGCAGGTGGATCACTTGAGGGAGGTCTGGAGTTCGAGACCAGTCTGGCCAACAGGTGAAACCCTGTCTCTACTGAAAATACAAAAAGTAGCTAGGCGCGGTGGCACATGCCTGTAATTCCAGCTACTCGGGAGGCTGAGGCAGGAGAATTGTTTGAATCCGGGAGGCGGAGGTTGCCGTGAGCGGAGGTTGTTGTGAGCCGAGATCACGCCATTGCACTCCAGCCTGGGCAACAAGAGCAAAACTCCATCCCAAAACAAAAAACAAAAAAAAAAGCCAGGCGTTGTGGTGCATGCCTGTAATCCCAGCTACTTGGGAGGCTGAGGCAGGAGAATCGCTTGAACCCAGAAGGCGGAGGTTGCAGTGAGCCAAAAATTGCACCACTACACTCCAGCCTGGGCAACAGCGAGACTCCATCTCAACATAAATAGACAGACAAACTGGGGCTCTTACCCCAATGTTGCTTGAGAATTTTCTGGACTATGCAGGGAATAATTATTTCTCTGATTTTCTTTGGGTAGTAGAATGGATTTCCCAGGTCCCCTAAGAGGAGGCAGGAGAGGGGAGGTGGCCAGGGTGTGCTGCTGGGGATGGGGTTTCTTTGAGGTGAAGCCAAACCTGCTCACCTGCTGCTGGCCCCGTGGCCTCTTCTCCTGTGCCCGCAGGTCCCTTGTATGTCATCGTGGAGTATGCCTCCAAGGGCAACCTGCGGGAGTACCTGCAGGCCCGGAGGCCCCCGGGGCTGGAATACTGCTACAACCCCAGCCACAACCCAGAGGAGCAGCTCTCCTCCAAGGACCTGGTGTCCTGCGCCTATCAGGTGGCCCGAGGCATGGAGTATCTGGCCTCCAAGAAGGTGTGGAACCTGAAGGCTCCCCTGGGTAATGCCAGGGTGGGAACAGAGTCCCCCCAGTCCTCCAGCCTGTGACTTGTCATCTTGTGGTAGCATAGTAGATGCACTGAGCACTGGCCATGTGTACCCTGTGTGTTGTCTTAGGCTCTCTGGGAACCGCAGAGTCAGGAGAACCCATGTAGCCAGGTGACCTTGGGGTCAGACTGATAGAAGGTCAGATGTGTGCACTGCCACTTTCTGCGTAGCCTCAGGCAGCTACTTAGCATCTTAAAATTCTTCGAATACAAAATAAGAATAATATCAGCTGGGTGCAGTGGCCAAGGTGGGAGGATTGCTTGAGCTCAGGAGTTTGAGATGAGGTTAGGCAACATAGTGAGACCCCGTCTTTAAAAAAAAAAAAATTAGCTGGGTATGGTAGTGCGTGCCAGTAGTCCAAGCTACTCGGGAGGCTGAGATGGGAGGCTAGCATGAGCCCAGGAGTTTGAGGCTGCACTGAGCCATGATCACACCACTGCACCCCAGCCTGGGCGACAGAGCAAGGGCCTGTCTCAAAAGAAAATAAGGTATAACAATACCTGTTGTAGAATTGTTATGAGGATAAAATGAAACTGTGAGTGTTGAGTGCAGTGTTTGGTGTGTAAGGGCTGGCTTGGTTTGAGCCCAGCCACATGTGGACTTGCAGTGCTGGGAGGCAGGACCTGGGAGCACGCACCCCTGCAGACCCAGCAGAGGCATAAGGGGCCAGCATTTGGGGAGGGAAGGGAGGAGCGCTTGCTGTGATGAGAAGCCTGATGCTGGCAGAGAGTATTAGAGGAGGGAAAGCAGAGGTTCAGGGGCAGAGCAGTGTGGCAGAAGTCCTATGACACAAGTCGGCCAGTTTGCATGGGTGGCAGCCCCCCCACAGAGCCTTCCAGCTCCCTCACCTCCCCGCTTCCCACTCTCCCTTCCTCCGTCCTCAGTGCATACACCGAGACCTGGCCGCCAGGAATGTCCTGGTGACAGAGGACAATGTGATGAAGATAGCAGACTTTGGCCTCGCACGGGACATTCACCACATCGACTACTATAAAAAGACAACCAACGTGAGTGCCAACAGGGCTGCCCTATGCTGGTGGTTTCATCTGAGAAGCTAGGAGTGGGGTGGGCTCAGAACCCCCCTCCCCCCCCGGTCCCTTCCCACCTGTGCTCTCACAGCCCTGCCTGGGGCCACCTCAACCTCCCCTGTGCTGCTTTCAGGGTCGACTGCCTGTGAAGTGGATGGCGCCCGAGGCATTGTTTGACCGGATCTACACCCACCAGAGTGATGTGTGAGTTTGTAACAGCAATTGCCAGGGAGGTGTGGGATAGAGAGCTGCTAGCACTGCAGAGTCCTGCATTCTCCCTGGACTGAGGAGTCCTCCTTCCACCCCAGAGAGGAAAACAAAACATTGTCTGTGGTCATTTCCTCTGCTCCAGATACTGAAAGGCTGATCTGTTCTCCACTCTGTCTCCTGGCACTGCCCTGGGTGGAGGATTTGTGCTGGAGGAAGGGAGGCGGAGAAGCTCTAACACCCCGTGGCTCTCCGCTTATTTGCAGGTGGTCTTTCGGGGTGCTCCTGTGGGAGATCTTCACTCTGGGCGGCTCCCCATACCCTGGTGTGCCTGTGGAGGAGCTTTTCAAGCTGCTGAAGGAGGGTCACCGCATGGACAAGCCCAGTAACTGCACCAACGAGCTGTAAGCCCGAGGAGATGTCGGAGGCCCTGAGCCAGGCCCTGGGGCAAAAGTGGGCTTGAGGGGCAGGGGGCTACATGAGAGGGTGTCCATCTCCAGTAGGCGGCCCTTCCTCCCTGACCTTACGGTCCTGCTGCAGGTACATGATGATGCGGGACTGCTGGCATGCAGTGCCCTCACAGAGACCCACCTTCAAGCAGCTGGTGGAAGACCTGGACCGCATCGTGGCCTTGACCTCCAACCAGGTAAGGCTGCCCATGCCAGAGCCAGAGCTCAGGCTGTCCCCACTGCGTGCATGCACCTCCCTGAGGAGGGAGGAGGGGCCCGGCCCATCACTGCTTCCTCTCGCCCATCACAGGAGTACCTGGACCTGTCCATGCCCCTGGACCAGTACTCCCCGAGCTTTCCCGACACCCGGAGCTCTACATGCTCCTCAGGGGAGGATTCCGTCTTCTCTCATGAGCCGCTGCCCGAGGAGCCCTGCCTGCCCCGACACCCAGCCCAGCTTGCCAATGGCGGACTCAAACGCCGCTGACTGCCACCCACACGCCCTCCCCAGACTCTACCGTCAGCTGTAACCCTCACCCACAGCCCCTGTCAGGCCCACTGCCTGTCCGTCCCTGTCCCCTTTCCTGCTGGCAGGAGCCCGCTGCCTACCGGGGGCCTTCCTGTGTGGCCTGCCTTCACCCCGCTCAGCTCACCTCTTCCTCCGCCTCCTCTCCACCTGTTGGTGAGAGGTGCAAAGAGGCAGATCCTTGCTGCCGGCCACTTCATCCCCTCCCAGATGTTGGACCAAGACCCCTCCCTGCCACCAGGCACTGCCTGGAGGGCGGGGAGTGGGAGCCGATGAACAGGCATGCAAGTGAGAGCTTCCTGAGCTTTCTCGTGTCGGTTTGGTCTGTTTCGCCTTCACCCGTAATCCCCTTGCACTCTGGTGGCAACAGAGTCCCCCCAGTCCTCCAGCCTGTGACTTGTCATCTTGTGGTAGCATAGTAGATGCACTGAGCACTGGCCATGTGTACCCTGTGTGTTGTCTTAGGCTCTCTGGGAACCGCAGAGTCAGGAGAACCCATGTAGCCAGGTGACCTTGGGGTCAGACTGATAGAAGGTCAGATGTGTGCACTGCCACTTTCTGCGTAGCCTCAGGCAGCTACTTAGCATCTTAAAATTCTTCGAATACAAAATAAGAATAATATCAGCTGGGTGCAGTGGCCAAGGTGGGAGGATTGCTTGAGCTCAGGAGTTTGAGATGAGGTTAGGCAACATAGTGAGACCCCGTCTTTAAAAAAAAAAAAATTAGCTGGGTATGGTAGTGCGTGCCAGTAGTCCAAGCTACTCGGGAGGCTGAGATGGGAGGCTAGCATGAGCCCAGGAGTTTGAGGCTGCACTGAGCCATGATCACACCACTGCACCCCAGCCTGGGCGACAGAGCAAGGGCCTGTCTCAAAAGAAAATAAGGTATAACAATACCTGTTGTAGAATTGTTATGAGGATAAAATGAAACTGTGAGTGTTGAGTGCAGTGTTTGGTGTGTAAGGGCTGGCTTGGTTTGAGCCCAGCCACATGTGGACTTGCAGTGCTGGGAGGCAGGACCTGGGAGCACGCACCCCTGCAGACCCAGCAGAGGCATAAGGGGCCAGCATTTGGGGAGGGAAGGGAGGAGCGCTTGCTGTGATGAGAAGCCTGATGCTGGCAGAGAGTATTAGAGGAGGGAAAGCAGAGGTTCGGGGGCAGAGCAGTGTGGCAGAAGTCCTATGACACAAGTCGGCCAGTTTGCATGGGTGGCAGCCCCCCCACAGAGCCTTCCAGCTCCCTCACCTCCCCGCTTCCCACTCTCCCTTCCTCCGTCCTCAGTGCATACACCGAGACCTGGCCGCCAGGAATGTCCTGGTGACAGAGGACAATGTGATGAAGATAGCAGACTTTGGCCTCGCACGGGACATTCACCACATCGACTACTATAAAAAGACAACCAACGTGAGTGCCAACAGGGCTGCCCTATGCTGGTGGTTTCATCTGAGAAGCTAGGAGTGGGGTGGGCTCAGAACCCCCCTCCCCCCCCGGTCCCTTCCCACCTGTGCTCTCACAGCCCTGCCTGGGGCCACCTCAACCTCCCCTGTGCTGCTTTCAGGGTCGACTGCCTGTGAAGTGGATGGCGCCCGAGGCATTGTTTGACCGGATCTACACCCACCAGAGTGATGTGTGAGTTTGTAACAGCAATTGCCAGGGAGGTGTGGGATAGAGAGCTGCTAGCACTGCAGAGTCCTGCATTCTCCCTGGACTGAGGAGTCCTCCTTCCACCCCAGAGAGGAAAACAAAACATTGTCTGTGGTCATTTCCTCTGCTCCAGATACTGAAAGGCTGATCTGTTCTCCACTCTGTCTCCTGGCACTGCCCTGGGTGGAGGATTTGTGCTGGAGGAAGGGAGGCGGAGAAGCTCTAACACCCCGTGGCTCTCCGCTTATTTGCAGGTGGTCTTTCGGGGTGCTCCTGTGGGAGATCTTCACTCTGGGCGGCTCCCCATACCCTGGTGTGCCTGTGGAGGAGCTTTTCAAGCTGCTGAAGGAGGGTCACCGCATGGACAAGCCCAGTAACTGCACCAACGAGCTGTAAGCCCGAGGAGATGTCGGAGGCCCTGAGCCAGGCCCTGGGGCAAAAGTGGGCTTGAGGGGCAGGGGGCTACATGAGAGGGTGTCCATCTCCAGTAGGCGGCCCTTCCTCCCTGACCTTACGGTCCTGCTGCAGGTACATGATGATGCGGGACTGCTGGCATGCAGTGCCCTCACAGAGACCCACCTTCAAGCAGCTGGTGGAAGACCTGGACCGCATCGTGGCCTTGACCTCCAACCAGGTAAGGCTGCCCATGCCAGAGCCAGAGCTCAGGCTGTCCCCACTGCGTGCATGCACCTCCCTGAGTAGGGAGGAGGGGCCCGGCCCATCACTGCTTCCTCTCGCCCATCACAGGAGTACCTGGACCTGTCCATGCCCCTGGACCAGTACTCCCCGAGCTTTCCCGACACCCGGAGCTCTACATGCTCCTCAGGGGAGGATTCCGTCTTCTCTCATGAGCCGCTGCCCGAGGAGCCCTGCCTGCCCCGACACCCAGCCCAGCTTGCCAATGGCGGACTCAAACGCCGCTGACTGCCACCCACACGCCCTCCCCAGACTCTACCGTCAGCTGTAACCCTCACCCACAGCCCCTGTCAGGCCCACTCACTGCCTGTCCGTCCCTGTCCCCTTTCCTGCTGGCAGGAGCCCGCTGCCTACCGGGGGCCTTCCTGTGTGGCCTGCCTTCACCCCGCTCAGCTCACCTCTTCCTCCGCCTCCTCTCCACCTGTTGGTGAGAGGTGCAAAGAGGCAGATCCTTGCTGCCGGCCACTTCATCCCCTCCCAGATGTTGGACCAAGACCCCTCCCTGCCACCAGGCACTGCCTGGAGGGCGGGGAGTGGGAGCCGATGAACAGGCATGCAAGTGAGAGCTTCCTGAGCTTTCTCGTGTCGGTTTGGTCTGTTTCGCCTTCACCCGTAATCCCCTTGCACTCTGGTGGCAGGTGCCTTGTCCTCAGGGCTACAGCAGTAGGGAGGTCAGTGCTTCGAGCCTCGATCGAAGGTGACCTCTGCTCCAGATGGGTGGTGCCAGTGGCTTACTAATTCCAATACTAGTTTGCTTTGCTCACCAAATGCCTGGTACCAGAGGATGGTGAGGTGAAGGCCAGGTTGGGGGCAGTGTTGTGGCCCTGGGGCCCAGCCCCGAACTGGGGGCTCTGTACATAGCTATGAAGAAAACACAAAGTGTATAAATCTGAGTATATATTTACATGTCTTTTTAAAAGGGTCGTTACCAGAGATTTACCCATCGGGTAAGATGCTCCTGGTGGCTGGGAGGCATCAGTTGCTATATATTAAAAACAAAGAAAAAAGAAAAAAAAGGAAAATGTTTTTAAAAAGGTCATATATTTTTTGCTACTTTTGCTGTTTTATTTTTTTAAATTATGTTCTAAACCTATTTTCAGTTTAGGTCCCTCAATAAAAATTGCTGCTGCTTCATTTTCTATGGGCTGTGTGAAAAGGGTGGGAATGTCCACTGGAAAGAAGAGACACCCACGGGCCCTGGGGCTAGGTCTGTCCCGAGGGCACTGCACGCTCCTGGCGCAGGTTCCTTGTAACCTCTTCTTCCTAGGTCCTGCACCCAGACCTCACGACGCACCTCCTGCCTCTCCGCTACTTTTGGAAAGTCAGAAAAAGAAGATGTCTGCGTCGAGGGCAGGAACCCCATCCATGCACTAGACACGCTGGGCGGAGAGTCAAGGCCCAGCAGCCAACCACCATGGATGGTTTCCTCCAAGGAAACCGGTGGGGTTGGGCTGGGGAGGGGCCACCTACCTAGGAATAGCCACCAGGTAGAGCTAAAGTGATTAAGAGGTAGCCAAGGGCACAGTTGCTCACACCTGTAATCCCAGCACTTTGGGACGCCGAGGTGGGCAGATCACTTAAGGGCAGGAGTTCGAGACCATCCCGGCCAACTTAGTGAAACCGCATCTCTACTAAAAATATAAAAATTATCCAGGCATGGTGGCACGCGCCTGTAATCCCAGCTCCACAGGAGGCTGAGGTAGGAGAATCCCTTGAACCTGGGAGGCGGAGGTTGCAGTGAGCCGAGATTGTGCACTCCAGCCTGGGCGACAGAGAAAACAGAAAGGAAAGCAAATCATGAAGGTCTGCAGAAACTGAAACCCAGACATGTGTCTGCCCCCATCTGTGTGGGCGTGGTTTTGCCGGTGCTTGTAAGTGCAGGAGAACATGTCACCTGAGGCTAGTTCTGCATTCAGGTCCCTGGCATGGTTTCTTGTTGGTATTCCTCCCCAGATCGTCCTTCCTGTATCCTTGTGACCAGACTGTATTTATTGGGACTGTCGCAGATCTTGGCTTCTTACAGTTCTTCCTGTCCAAACTCCACCCTACCCCTCAGGAAGGGGGGAAAATTCTCCGAATGCTTTTGTTTTTTTGGCTGCTTGGAATTTACTTCTGCCACCTGCTGGTCATCACTGTCCTCACCAGGCGGATTCTGGCTCCCCGGTACCTCATGGCTCAAACTACCACTCCTCAGTCGCTATATTAAAGCTTACATTTTGCTGGATTACTGCTAAATACAAAAGAAAGTTCAGTATGTTTTCATTTCTGTAGGGAAAATGGGATTGCTGCTTTAAATTTCTGAGCTAGGATTTTTTTTGGCAGCTACAGTATTGGTCACTATTGTAAAATTATCTTTGTTTCTCTCTGTAAATACGCACCTGCTAACATTACAATTTGTATTTATGTTTAAAGAAGGCATTTGGTGAAGAGCTGGGAAAGGAATTTTTAGCTCTTAAAAGCATTTGCTTTGAGACCACACAGGAGTGTCTTTCCTTGTAAAACAGTGATAATATTCTGCTTTGGCCCTACCTTGAAGCAATGTTGTGTGAAGGGATGAAGACTCTAAAAGGCTTCATAAGCCTTTGGGAGAGGTGCTAGAAAAATATATGGCACTATCATAATTACAGTGATGTCCTTGCTGTTACTACTCAAATCACCCACGAATTTCCCCAAAGACTGCACTAGCTGTCACATAAAAGAGAGTGAAATTGACCTGAGAGAAAATGAAATGGCCATTTTACGTAGAGGACCAGATTGGGTCTCCTGAGGAAAGGAATCCAGTTTATCTAATGAAGATGTTGTGCCATCAAGGCACTGAGTCTGTCTGGTTTCCTGAGGGTTAAAAGATTAGGGCTGGAATCACCACAGCAGTAATCAATACTGCCTTTCCGTCTTTTCTAATTGCCATAGGCTGAAGATCATCGGTCCCTTGGCCCTGCTAATGTAATGTATTGATCTCAGGTAAGTAAGATTGAACATCAGATGAGGGAGGAAATCTGTCTCAATGTTAATGAGGTTGCTGTGCTTATTAGCTACCACTGGGTGGAGCCAGCGAGCTGAAGTTTCAGTTGGCATTAGGTGAACCACCAGTCCAACTACTACCTGCTAGTATGTGTTGGTGGTGAGTGGGAACTCTTTAGCCTAGATTTGGCATTACGGAAAAATTGATTGGACAGCACTGATATGGCTTGTTTTGGAATGATTTAAGTATAGAATTAGACATGACACAAGTGCAAGGCCATAAGTGTTAGTGGCCACCACCTCTGTATTGTAGCAGAATTCTATGTGAGACACAGGCCACATCTAGCATCACTGCAGTTGGGTTTTAGAGAATGCCTAAAGTGGCTGGGCATGGTGGCTCACGCCTGTAATCCCAGCACTTTGGGAGGCTGAGGCAGGCGGATCACCTGAGGTCAGGAGTTCCAGACCAGCCTGGCCAACATGGTGAAATCCCATCTCTACAAAAATACAAAAATTAGCCAGGTGTGGTGGTGCATGCCTTTAATCCCAGCTACTCCAGAGGCTGAGGCAGGAGAGTTGCTTGAACCCAGGAGGCGGACGTTGCAGTGAGCTAAGAT